CCCAGGATTGTTAAAAGGATAAAATGAGCTCTTTGGAGGAAAAGGTGGTATGTAAATGTTAAAAAATAAATATATTTAATAAAATACAGCAGAATGAGGCAGCAGCATTCTGAACTGGCAGAGTAGACTGCAACCCTTAAAGCTGCAACGTGGAGATTTCATGTTTGAATGCTCTCTCTTGTGAAAAGTCCCTGAAAGAAAAACACTGAGAACATCCAAGAAACAGATTCTAGCCAAGCCAATCCCCCCATTCTGGTGGTGATGATTTACTATTTACAAATTATAGTTTTCTATTTCCAGAGAGTTTTTTTTTTTTCCCAATAAAGAAGCGTTGTGAAATGTGACTCCTCACCAGCAGATTGCAGTGGTACAGTTCACACTGCTATCTCAGCCTGCCGCATGTGTCAATCAGGTCACAGACAATTAAACGTTAACAGGCCGCCTCACCTCTTTATGCGGCTCCATGATCACAGTGACGCTTTTCCCCGTGACTTGGGCAAGCACCTGCAAGGAGTGCATCGCTTGCTTCCTTACAGTGGAGTTTGGAGAGGTCACCTCTCGCACCAGGTCATGGGTCACGTGATGGAAAGACTTTTCCTGGGCCGAGAGGATGTCTTCTGTTTTCTCTTCATCTTTCAGAGGAGTCGCGCACCTGATCAGGAGCTGTTCCAGGGTGGTTTTGGCCATAGCAACTGCTCCGTTCGAAACCTATGCAGGTTGCAGAAGTGTCAGTGTGTTGCCAACACAAACTAATGAGCAATGCTGGAGTACCAAATTCAACAGTGAAGTGACCAGCTTGCAAGAACATTCCTGCTTGAACGTGGATTGGAAACTTTATACAGAGGGCCAGTGTGGTCACCCACTTTCTCAAAGGGCCCATCGCCATCAGGACCACCATCCCTGAAACTGTCAGAGCCATGGTGCAACACAGCTGTTTGCTGCTGCCACCACCAGCCAATTAATCCCAGTTCCCCTCCTGCCTGCAGTTGCATTTGCCCAGCATCTGTTATTTGTCGCGGGCATCGTATCATGATGGGAGATTGTGCCCATGATGCTATTATTACGGGAGCCAAGCTGGTACTCAGCTCTATGCCACAGCTACCATGTTAAATTCACCAAGATGCAATACCCAACATCTGCACTACGTCTTGGGAAATCTTAACATGGCAGCCACTCCTGCAGAATGGAGCCAAGCGCCAATCTGGCTCCACTAAGAAGCACCACTGCCCACTGCTGCTGGATAAACACATGGGAAGGAGGAGGCAGTGACAAAAGAAGCAGGAAGCAGCCATGCCAGGCAGGCAGGCAGCAGTAGCACCAGGCAGGGGAGTCAGACTGGTGCTGGACAGAGGGCCAATGATAGCAGCTTGTGCTGGCTACACAGATACATTTCCAAAGCCAGAATGAATTGGTGGTTTAATGTTTCCAAGGTGAGATGTCAAAGCACACCTCATCAGTAAAGTGGAAGTGTCTGGATGCAGAGCACATGACAAAACCTCACTCAGTGAAGTTCAGTTATCTTTAAAAGTCTTGCTTATCCAATTCCATGCTGTTTTTCTTCCCCACGTTTAGTCACACTGAAACACTGCTATTTAGCAACTGAACGCTTCCCTAGTTTTCCACGCAACCAAAAATAGTAATTACACATACAAAGTTGAAAGAGAAAAAGGCAGGTCCGCATGCAGCGGATTCGATGCTTGTTTTAATCTGGATTCGTAAAATCTCTTTCCTTGCAGGAGTACCGTTCCCTCTCGCCTTCTCTGAACCCTGATGAGGGACACAAAGGCTGACCAACCTTTCCATTTAACCAGATTTTGAAGGCACGGGTTAAGGCTGACTTCAACTCCTTTTTAGCCTTTAAGCATGGTTAACAATAATGCAATATACCCCTTAACAGTGGTGAAGGTAAGAGACAGAAATGTGATCCCAAGACAGAAGAAAGTTCCCGTGTCTGATATCTTAACTGGGGTTAAACGGGGGCCACTATCACAGGCAATCTCAGGCCCAACAACACACCTGTGAAACAGGAATGATGCTGACTTCACTCACGGTGAATGCCTACTGAGAACGAGCCAGATGAATCTACCATGTCCTTCATGGTAAAAATCATACAACTATTAAGCATCTGTGTAAGAACCTCCAAGTTCTCCGCCAGTTTTCAGTGAGAAGTATCATTACAGAAGCTCAATGCAATGGTGAAAAAAAGCAGGCGACAAGCCGTCTGGACAGGGACCAAAACTCAGTCATAGAGCTCTACATGCTGAAGGTCCAGGGCTCAACCCCCAGCACCACCGGGAAGTAAACCAGGAAAAGATACTATGGAGAGCTACTACCAGTCAATGCAGGCAATAGTGGACTAGATGGACCAACCATTGGTCGAAGCAGCTTCCTATAATTGATATGAGTCTTAAATACCTCTCCTGTTAGGTCCATCATGACAAACAGCAGCGCCTTGAGGAAAGTCTGTTGATTCTGGAGAACCCAAATGAGAGGCAGCCGCTCCATGAGAAATTTGATGGACACCACTCCCCCGAGCTTCGCGTACCAGGCTTGTTCATAGCAACAAGCGCACAGCCGCTCCACGATGTAGGAGAACAAGGGAAGCTGGCAAGCCTAGAGGGTTAAGGAAAGAACCAAGCAAATGCGCATCAGTCAGCAAGAGGCTGGGTTGTTGAAAGCAAGATCGCATATGCAAAGCTGGAAGTGAGCTTCGTTACCCTTTCCTTCGATCCCAGGATGATGCTGGCAACATCAAATATCACGGCTAGCGCCACCTCTCCAATTTTGCAGAGCTCTTTCTCCTCGTACGCCATGCAGATGGCGATGGCATCGATAAGCACCAAGGGATCCATGCCTTTGGATCCGTTTTCTTCACTGTGGAACATGGCCGTGCTGGGCTGGCTTCCAACCTGGTAACACTGAAGCAAGAATGGACCTGGGATTTATAGTAAGGCGGGGAAGAGGAGGAAGCAGAAAACAAGGAGGCTTCAGTTAGATGAGAAGGAAAGAGCAGCCCTGCTGGGTCAGAACAAAGGTCCACCTGGTTCAGTGTCCTGATCTCCCCGGACCACGGGTATAACCAAATGCTTCCAGGAAGCCCACAAGGAATGAGTGAAGGCATTGGCGACTGCTGCCCGGAGGTATACTGCGTATGCCCATGGAGGCCCAACTTAGCCATTGTGGCCAAGAGTTGTTGCCAGGCTGGGTAAATACCTTTTAAAGCCATTGATGCCATTGGCCTCTGCCATATCTTGTGGCAGTGGATTCCACAAATCAACCCCACATGGTGCAAAGAAGCCCTTTTTCTTGCCCATCCCAAATCTGCAGTCCATTTCATTGGGTGAGCCCAAGTTCTTTGATGGCAAAGAAGTGGGGAAGGAGTCCGCTCCATCTACTTCCTCCACACCATACCTAAATATCATAAACTGTTACTGTCATAGACCTCCCCACCCACCCAAAAAATTATGTACAGTGATACTTTGTGTTGTGTAACCTCCAGGTTACAGAATCTTCGGGTTACAGCCACGGCAAACCCAGAAGTGTATACTTCCAGTTTTCGCCACGCGTGCATGTGCAGAAGTGCTCTGTGTGCCGCGCATGCACAGAAGCATTCAAATGCGCCCCACACATGTGCAGAAGCGCTCAATTGCACCCCGTGCGTGCGCAGAAGGGCACCTCTGGTTACGAAGTTTTCGGGATACGGCCGGGCCTCCAGAACGGATCCTGCTCATAACCGGAGGTACCACTGTATTCCTCTTAACTGCCATTTATCATGACAATTTCAGGCAGCATACAATAGTGTGAATGGCACCAATCACAGAAACTAATTAAAACCGGGTATCAACAACGTGCACTTAATGACCTGAAAAAGAATGATATCTTCGCCTGAAAACAAAACTGCAGTGCTTTTACTCCTGGCTTCTTGTTAAAGAGTCACCAACCTGCTGCCCTCCAGAAGTTGTTCTGGCTAGGGCTGATGGGAACTGTAGTCCACCAACAACCGGGTGGCCACCAGGCTGGTGATGGCTGGCCCAACATTTACTTACCGCACTGCTGGGCAACTGCCACCATGGTGTAATGCCGAATTAAGCTGGCTACAAATGGAAGAGCACTGGGACGCAAGTCTTTGATCACCGCCGACATGAACGCCCCTGTCAACGCCTGCTCAAACGTCTTACGGGCAGGTGTGTCCTGGGCTTTGTACCGATGGGAAATGATTACGCTGGGAATCGACTTCTCAGTAAAGCTGCAAAAAGCAAAACAAATCAACAGTTTTACAGATTTACTTTAACTGAGAGAGAACATTTTGTTCTGATCGAGGGATGAGCAGTTCGTCTGAAACCGCATCCGATGTGACCTGTGCCACAAGGTCGGACTGAGGAAATGCAGCTCATAGAATCGCGGAACTGTAGAACTGTAGCTCAGCATCAGGAGAACTGTAGAACTGTAGCTTAGGATCAGGATCAGGCCACAGCTGATGCTAGCCATCTGAATCTGATTCTCAAAACCATGGCAAACGTGTCAAGGCTTGCAACCAAATAGTATGGATACAGCCAAGAGAGTTTGTGTTCACTTACCCAGAGCTCAAAAGGGTTAACGGGAGCACCAAGCTTACATGATAGGCTAATTTCATCCTGAGGATTTACTATCAAAATGTCTACTGCATCATCTAAATGCCTGAAACTGGTTTTAAATAGGAACAGTAATTCCCTGAGTAACTCAAGTTTTGCAATAAAAAACATCAATCTGTTTACTAATAGTGCAAGCTCAGTGCTTAACAGAACGAGCTTTGAACCAGGAAATCCCCCATCCAAATCTTGCCTCCACCACAAACTCAACAAATGGCCTTGGGCAAAGGAATAGATCTCAGCCTCAGTCCCTTATTTATAATAATAACGGGACAGCGTTGCTGAGCTTTCTATAAGGCTGTTGTAAGGAATACTGAACTAATAATGCATATGAAGCATTCTGAATGTTCTAAAATGCAAGAAAAGCGTTCAGTAACATAGTTTAGTTAGAGATCATCTGTTTCACATGCAGATGGCCCCAGGTTCATTCCCTGGCATCTCCAGGTAGGGTTAGGAGAAAAGACTTCCTGAATCCCTGGAATGCTGCTGCCAGTCAGTGAAGACAGTACAAGGTATGGGAACCAGGCAGAGGGCCTTCTCGGTAGTGGCGCCCTCCCTGTGGAATGCCCTCCCACCAGATGTCAAAGAGAACAACAACTACCAGACTTTTAGAAGACATTTAGAAGACAGCTGAAGGCAGCCCTGTTTAGGAAAGCTTTTAATGTTTGATGTATTACAGTATTTTAATATTTTTTTGGAAGCCGCCCAGTGGCTTAGGAAGCCCAGCCAGATGAGTGGGGTATAAATAATAAATTATTATTATTATTATTCCTATGTACTGCAAGATGTTCATTGTCCCTGACTGCCATTTAAGTCCTCCATGGGCAAGTGTTATCAATTCCAGGGAATTAGGGGGTCTATTCTTTCCTTTTAACAGTGATTCAAGCTAAATACCAGGGATCCATTTACCACCCTCTGGCAAGCATGACACGACACCCAGCCATGAACCTGAGAAGGACCAAGGCATTGCCCCCTGATCAGTGTGTCTGATCAGCAACCCGTGTGCTTTCTGCATCCAGGTTTGTCATCTCTTTCCCCACCTATTTATTTCCTTCTTTCTTAACACCGCGCAGTTACACTACAAATCACCCAAACCACCAAACAATGTTATTCCAACTCAGAAGAGACCCACTGAAATTAATGAGCATGACTAATGTTGACCCATCAGTTTCAAAGGGTCTACTCCAAGTAACACTCGCTTAAGAAACAACCCTCTGTAGAATGCAACCCCCAAGAACAAGGCGCAGCCTGCCAACCTTAATTCTGCAAGCCATTATAAAATAATCTTACTTCGGATGGGCAAGAAGCTGATACAAAGCATGCTTGTTATCATCCAGACTCATCATGGCCACCAAGAAGCATTTGATCACCTCCCAGGCCTGCCTCCGGTAGTATGGCTCTGTGTTCGCACTCTTCAAGCAGTCCAAGGCAGTCTCAATGGCCTAAAACAATGGAAGTAATTTGCTTCAGAAAACCGTAAGAACAAAAAAAAGTGATGCATTTTAGCAGCTGCCTAGCTAAAATATTGCACAAGCTTCCGTGATGCCCACTGGCTTAGATCAGTGGTCCCCAAACATTTTCTCCCCCAGACCACTTGAAAATTGCTGACCGTCTTTTCTTTCCCCCCCTGCCAGTTCTAGAAACTACAACGTGCTGCGCCAGTGTTTATTATTTTTAATTGTATTTTTATTGTGTCTTTGTTTTGAACATTGAATTTTATTGTATTACAATTTGAATTCTGAAGGGTCTGCAAACCACAGTCTGGGAACCCCTGACTTTAGTATCTTTAACAGGGGATTACATTACAAAGTCACATGCAAGGGCACCCATCTAGGCAGCGACCACAAAAAATGGTGAGGAGCACAGAACTATGAACTACAATGTATTGATAATGAGAAGAGTTCACAATAAAATAGACAAAATAATGAATACATTTGCAAGGCTTACAGTGAACCACAAAGCAAAAAAATTACTGAAGGATGCTCTAAGCAACTAACAAATATAATTACACTTGCAAAGTATACATTTCACAGTGACAAACTGTACTGCACAAGAATTATTCTCGCACTGAAGAATGTTCTAAGCAGCTGACGTTTCAGCTGCTTAGAGCTTTCTTCGGCACAACGATAATAAAAATAGCACCAATAATTATAATATAATAATGAAGTATGTTTTGTACTGTAGGGCTCGCTGTAAGCCTTGCTGGGACGTACATTTTGCAAGTGTAATGATATTTTGTCTACGTTATTGTAAACTCTTCTCATTATCAATTTCTTGTTGGTCACAGTCATATGCCCTTCAGCATTTTTTGTTTGTTTGTTTGTTTGTTTGTTTGTTTAAAAGAGGATTAGACAAATTAGAAGACTATCAGCAGATTTGACAAGCAAATGGAATTCCCAAGTTTAGAAGATGTATATATGCCTTGAATATCAGCTGCTAGAGAGCAACATTGCATGAGGGGCATCACCTTCATGCTTTGAGTGTAGATTGCCTAAGAGTGTAACAAAAGCCCTGCTGATGCAGGCCAATGGCCCATCCAGCATCCTGCTCTCACGGTAACCAACCAGATGCATGATGGAAAACCCTCAAGCAAGACCTGAGTGCAAGATCACTCTTCCCAATCCTGCGGTTTCCAGCAACTGGTATTCAGAAGCATTACTGCCTCCGACTGTGGAGATAAGAGCATCAACATGGTGGCTGGTTCTTCTTCTTTGGCGATCACTCCTAGCCGAATAAGATTGTCTTCCATAAACACAGTTTTAACAATGAGTCCGTAAGCGACTGTGGAGACCAGTTCTGGGTCCACACATCCTTCCACAGTGGGGACATTGGTTTCCGGGTGGGAGTTGATCACGGTGTGGATTTGCCAAGCATGCCTTCCTCTTAGCACGTTTCTCTCGTGTCCTGAGTTTGAGCGTCTTCAAAGCCCCTGACACCTTTGGTAAAGGCTGTTCTCCAACTGGAGCGCTCACAGGCCAGTGTTTCCCAGTTGTCAGTCTTTATACTACATTTTTAAAGCTTTGCCTTGAGACAGTCTTTAAACCTCTTTTGTTGATCACCAGCATTACGCTTTCCATATTTAAGTTCAGAATAGAGTAGTTGCTTTGGAAGACGATCATCAGGCATCTGCACAACATGACCAGTCCAACGAAGTTGATGTTGAAGAATCATTGCTTCAACACTGGTGATCTTTACTTCTTCCAGTACACTGATATTAGTTCGCCTGTCTTCCCAAGTGATGTGTAAAATTTTTGGGAGACACCGTTGATGGAATCTTTCAAGGAGTTGGAGATGCCGTTTATAAGTGGTCCATGTTTCACAAGCATATAGTAAGGTTGGTAGTACAATAGCTTGGTAAACAAGCATTTTGGTTTCCCTGCAAATGTCCCAGTCCTCAGGCTGGTAGCTACTGATAGCCTCATCATCTATGAATTTGTCTAATCCTCTTTTAAAGGCATCCAGGGTTACAGCACGACTTTGTGGGAGCAAGGTTCATAGTTTAACTACACGCTCTGCTTTCTTTTGTCTGTCCCATAAATACCTGGAAGGACCTTTGATCTGATCCAGCAATACTAAACATAAATCTGAGATCTGAAGTCACTGAGATACACACACAAAATGTACAATGCTGTTTTCTCTCTTTAGGTACAGAAAGGTCCACAAAGGAATCTAGAAGCTTAGGAACATTTGCTCCTTACTCCTGCTCTGCACCGACTTCAGCTGCAACTGCTTCATGCTCTTACTTGCGGTGTGGCAAAGGTTTGCTCTCCAAAATGGTTCCCTTACAAGCCTTCTCAGAAGAGTTAAAGAGAAAGTGAGCCAAGCACTTTGCACACACTGTAAATGGCAAAATGCTGCTTTAAGCATCTCATAAGGAAAATCAAACTTTCGTACAAAAAACCTTGCGCGACAGCAAAAAAGCACTCTATAAATGAGACTCAGGAAAGGCATCTTGGAGTCTGAGACCAACTTAATGACAATTTATAGGAGTCTTTTCACGGCAACCACTCTGTGAAGCTCCAGGGCTCATGGTTTTGCCAACCCAAGGCAACCCAATAAAAGTTATCATCTCGACTTACTCTCTGATTTAATACACATGCACACACAAGTATGTTTTTGCTCCAAGATGAAGAAAGCAGGCGCCCAGAATAGGACATTGATCAAATGTAATCCAGCTGAAAAATTCATCTGAGAGCCATGAAATAAGAAATTTCATTGCCTAACTGATTGTGAAAGGAAATCCAATCATCCATGCTTAAATGCTGGAGATAAAATTATGTAGATAAAAGTGACCTTTGAATGCTAAGGACTCACCCCCCCCCCCAAACAACAGAGCCACTCTTGTTTGCAGGGGGGAAATAGTATTTCCAGTCATGAATGAAACTGGTTGCTTGCCTCTCCTACACAACCTTTCTCAAGTTTTCAATAAAAAACACAATGAGTTTTCCACAGACCACTGAGGTGGAACTTCTCTCACTATACAAGGCTAACACGAAAGATGGATTTCTTCTGTTGGCACTTCATTCCAATTCTTGAGAGATCAACTGTTTTTACTCCCAGCTCTGTGAATGCACAGTGTAAACAGAGATTGCTTCCTACTCAACCCGAAAAAGCTGGCAGGAATTTTATTTAGTATGGGCATATCTACAGCACTTTTCGTTTTATGGCTGTCTATGCAAAGACAGATTTCTAGTCTATATTCAAAGTAAAATAATGGTGTAGTTGAATTCAGAACTGCAGAGACGTAATGCTAAGGGGGAGAAAAATTTAGCCAGAAAGGTTTCACTTACTGTCTGGCAACAATGAGGTGAAAAGATCCTGTCTTGGCGCAACAGGATAATTAGTCCTATTTATAAAAAGCATTAATGGCGAGGAAGAGAAGAGGCCAAATTGGATCAAAGCTTAGACATTGTGACCTGCCAAATGCTGTTAAGTGATTCAAGAGTTCACAGCCGGGATGCGAGCCCAACAACAAAAATATGCAAACTAAAATATAGCCATCATGTAAGTGGCAGGTTCTGTTGGATTAATTTGCAAGAAAGCTCAAACCAAGGAAGTATTTAACAACTAACACTACACACACAAACATGAATACAGACTCAGAAATTTTATAGGCCACAGCAAGATTCTCCTCTCACCGCCATGACAATGCCCTTCTGAGCTGATCATTTGTGAACCAAGTTTTCACTATGATGGCAGAAAGAGATGAGCTACAGACATAAGCTCCACACCTGTGCAACAATGGATTTTAGATAGCTCTCAAGTATAATGGCATCATCATGCAGCCCACACAGACTTAATACAACAATCCTAAACATACTGTCTAAGAAGCAAGCTCCATTTAACAACTTCTTGTTTCACAAAGGTTGCAACAGGCATCAACAGGATCTTAAGGAATTTCTGTAGCATAAGTAGTCTGTTGTCGGCAGCTGATGGAACAGAC